GCACCTTGGGTGAAAGTTTCACGATCAAGCTTGCCAATCCCAGATTTCGCAATGTCGCCACCAGCCAAACTGGATCCAGGGGTCGACCTCTTCGACGACGACGACTCCAAAATATTTTTTGGGCTGTTTGCGACATTGAACGCGAAACTTTCACACAAGGTGCTGTTGGCCAAGCCGAGCCCATTGCTCTATTAAAAACCCCACGTTTCATTGTGAAATCTTGAGATATGGCTGTCTTTATGTTCTGTGCGTGATGCTATATGAAGAGTGGACTTTGTTCATTGTGAAGGAGCTGGACCCTGGCAGAGCAAAAGATGCAGAGGGACCTCTTTGTGTAACTGGGTTAAAAAGTTTGGACTTCAGGGACCATGCATGACAGGTACGCAACCCTCATTTTCAGGTCATACATTGGCAGCTAATAGCCACTTTTATCCAATCAGCATTGTTGCGAAATCCACATGATGGGAATGATTCTCCTGCTCCAGACATTCATTTCCATGATTAAAGTAGGTTGATCCGAGCTGATTTGGTTGAGTTACGGTCGAACAAGGATTAATGAGCTGAGACATTCGAATGTATGCTGATGTATGGATCGATGTCATCTCTCTTTGACCGTAGCTCAGCCAAATCAGCCCGGATCAAGATAATTGAATCAAGGAAATGAATGTCTGGAGGAGAAGAATCGCTCACATGTCATAGAGTGGGCAACAGTGCCGATTGTGAGGAAATTGCTGTTAGCTCGCAATGTATGGGCTATTGTCAATACTATACATTATCATCTTTCCATCCTTCCAGTCATGCAAAACAGCTGAGTCACACAAAGAAGTCCTCCTGCATCTTTGGCTCCCTCAGGGTCTATCTACTTTACAATGAACAAAGACCACTCTTCATATAGCATCACGCTTACAAACATAAAGGTGCCTGTATCTCCAAACTTTACAATGAAACGTGGGGTTTTTATTGGAGCAATGTGCTCAGCTTGGCCAACTGCACCTTGTGTCAAAGTATGAAGTTCATCGTGGCCAATCCCAGATTTCGCGAATGTCGCCACCAGCCAAAGTGGATTGACCTCTTGAATTTTTTTCGACGACGACGAAAATATTTTTTGGCTGGTAGCGACATTGAGTGAATCTGGGATCGGTCACGATGAACTTCATTGTTTGACACAAGATCGCTTTCACCCCGCCGAGCAGCTTGTTCTATTAAAGACCCCACGTTTCATTGTAAAGTTTAGAGATACAGGCACCTTTATGTTTTACATATGCTGTAAGCGGGATGCTATATAATAGGTGATCTTTGTTCATTGTCAATCGCCTCACTCTAGTAGAGCCAAAGATGTAGAAGGACGTTTGTGTAACTAGCCGAGAGTGGGGGCGGGTTGAAGGGTCGATCTTATTGGTGAGGAGTGCATAATGGATGCTTTCCCCTAGACGCCTATACTAAGGTCCGCCTATGATAGCGCGTATGGATAATCCTACAAGTAGAAATATAATGCCTTTATGAGAACAAAAATGACGAGTGCATATGAAACTATCGATTGTCGAAATATGAGACCTGAGATGAGTGATATTGATATTGAAGTGACCTTTTGGGCTGAGGCTTTGTCAGCGAGCGCTTTCAGGCACCCTCCTGATCGTCATTCTTTTTCTCTCGCAAGACGTCTCGCTTGATCGTACAGATTTGAAGATATGGGTAGCTTTATGATTTTTCACAAATGAAGGCATGATGGTGTTGATTGCTATACTAAAAGTGTCTATGCTCGTGGTGGATGACAGCAACAGACATGTGCTTTTTAAATGAAGCTCACTATTACAGGTCGGGGTGTGATTTTGATAACGAAATCATGCACAAGGCACACTGGGTACTACATGCATGAGGATGAGGAGTCATTGAATCAGCGATTGCTCGAAACTTCTATAGACAACCATGGTGTCTTTGTGAGAACGAAAATGATCACTGCATTTGAATGTACCTCCTGGCAACATACCAAATCCTGTGCCTTGATTCTAGAGGTTTTAGCCTTCATAGCGTGGTAGTTATAGAGCTTCGACGCGCTCATTTGCACCCCAAAGAGCCTTTTTCATTAGAGTAATTGTATTTTCAAAACGAACCCATCATTATACACGTAAATAAGACTTAATAACACGCCAAGTGTCAAGAGGAATCAAGAACGACGGCAATCTGCACTATGGTTGCTATGAAACCTTGATGGGTCCATTTCCTTCCCAATCAGACTTTTTATTCAAATAAACTACTTTGCAGTAATCTACACACAATTCTACACGTACGTTGACTTGGTAACGCACCATTTGCAAAGTGAGATCGAGAGGGGGTGAAATGGGACTGTGTGGGCGGGAGTGTATTTAAGTTGGCCTTGTATCCATGGCAATAGTTCCTCCTCTTTCCGCAATGCCATCTCAAGTTCATCAAGAACCGGCTCGCTTCTTCCCTCTTGTGCTCGTGCTCACCGCATTGAAGTGGAACGTTTTCGAACAAGTACATTTCATGTGGGTGGTGCCAATTGCCTTCTTTCTCGGTGTCGTTTTTCCTTTGGTTCGGTGGGGGCTTTCGCGTCCCAACAATCGGTTGACTCACGTCCCGATTGCCAGCAATGCTGACTGCTCGGCCGGCGTGCCGTTGCGGGCGGCCAGGGAAAAGGTAAGTGATTCGACACAGGTGCCTACTAGCCCTGTTGTCTTGGCTAATCGTCAACCCTGGGTAGCTCCAGTGGTTCCATGCAAGGCGCAAGCCTGCGAGTATCCTGGTATGTTGTTTTCTACACGACCAGTAGCACAAGTGCGCCGTCACCATGGCAACATGTCGGCCTTGAGGGTGATGCGGTTTTCAACTCCATCATCAGCTGTGGATCTTTTCAAACCATCCAAGCAAGTTACAAGCACACGGTCACCACCAAAGCTTGCTTCGAGGAATGGCTATGCATAAAGCCATGCAGCATGTGTACGGTTTACCGTCACCAAGTTCTACTACTACTACAGCAGCAACAACAACATCATCATCAGTATCATTGGCATCTTCATCATCATCTGCATCATCATCAGCATTGGCATCTTCTTCATTGGCATCTTCATCTGCATCATCATCATCTTCTTCATCTGCATCATCATTGTCATCATCATCATCATCTGCATCGTCATCGTCTGCATCATCATCATCATCATCTGCATCGTCATCGTCATCATCATCGTCATCACCATCATCATCATCATCATCATCCATGGACGAGCTTTGTAAGTATTCTATATGAAAGGATCTTCTCTTCAGCAAGACTTTGATGCTAATAGATTTTCTTTATAGGTGAAGCTCTCAGCACGCTCGATATATATGAGCCAGATACCGATATACCCGATGCATTTCATGATACCCCAGAAGAGCTACAAGAAATCGTTGAGAATGGTAAGTGCATTGCATATTGGGATTGATATCAAATGATATGATTTTATATTAACTCATTTTTTCACCTTTATAGGGGACGTAGGTGCCCCAGAGCCACAAGTACAAGGCTTGGAAGATGTCACGATGGGAACACCATCACCACAACCACAACCACAATCGCCATTGCCACCACCGCCATCACCACAACAACCACCACAACCGCCACCACCACAACAACAACAACCACAACCGCCACCACCACAACAACAACAACCACAACCGCCAATTTTGTATACCCAGGTGATCCCACCACCACCCATCATTCATCCGGAGGCAACACCGGAAGTAGTAGTAGCAGCAGTAGTCGCAGCAGCATCATCAGCACCAGCGGCATCAGCAATACCTGTTGCGTCAAGCACAGGAAGCAGCAACAACAACAACCGATCACGGTTACAGTTCCGAAGGCCTGTCATAAGGCCTAGAAGTCGCCTTCGATGGCAGAGACCAAGTGGGAATCAAGCACCTCCACTTCCAAGACCACCACCATCACCACCATCACCACCAAGGCCACCACCATCACCATTAATATCACCGCCACCATCATCACCACCATCACCCGCATCCACAGCCTCATCCGTAGGATACGAGTATAGGCCTATACTAAGTCCAAGAAGACGGCTCCAACGGCCAGAGACAACAACATCATCATCATCATATATACCACCACTATCATCATCACCACTTATACCATCATCATCATCACCTATACTATCTGCATCATCATTATCGCCTATACCATCATCATTATCACCGATATCATCATCACTATCGCCGATACCATCATTATTATCACCTGTATTACCATCGGCATCATCATCATCCACATTGCTCTTTACGGAGGCAGAGCTTGCATCACCAATTTTGTCTGAACATGCTGAACAAGCAGATTCATGTAAGTATACTTGCACATTGGGATGAATGACTTTGTATGATACTAACTTTTGATTCATTAGTCATGGGCGGAGACGATATCCTTGCAGAGATCATGGGGACCGATTTTATCGATCCCTTTGACGAAGTAGTCTTCAATGAAGACGCATAGTAAGTTACTTACAATGTATGCCATGGCTTTAATCACTCACATGCATATTATATATAGGTGCCCATAGAGTTTCTCAGCAAGAATTGCGAGAGAGTTTGGTGGATGGAAAACCCCAGCCCAGATTCAGGCGTGCATTTCAGCTATGCCAGTTGCTTGCACATACGGAAGGATCGGCATGTAGGTATCCCGACGGGAGTTTCTTGCACATCAACGCCTATCACTTTTAGGGCGCTGCCATGGCGATGACGTATCGTTCCAAGGATCCCTTGTTCCCATGCTACGATTAAGTCACAAAGCATTTGTGGTGTCTTCTCCTCGTGGATCAAGAGCCAAAGGGCGATTCACTCATCATGTTACCCACTGGGGCATGGGATTGTACTTGAAAAGGCAAGTTGAATCAGTGACACTTCTTGGATACCAATATGCTAATCATCTTTTGTCTTTTATTGTGGGGGTGGGTCATGGTATATGTATGCCGTGATACATCCCTACATAGTTTGGCCGCCCTTACATTTTTGGATGATGGTGTTTGGGCACAAGCGGTAATCATCTTGGAAGTGGGTACTTGGAAAAAACAAAAGCATCAAGACATCGACTTGCACGGGCATCGTAGTTTTGGGGCTTGGGGCCTGGAATGGTATGTGGTCGTCATGGTAGCGCTCTCGAAGTGGTAGGCGTTGTGTGTAGGATTCTCTCGAAGGGTGTAAACCCTGCATGTTTGATTCCTTCATTTTATAGGTGCACTGGTGTACTGGAATGCCACGTTCTGTTCTGGTGTTGTGGGTTCTTCCTGAAGCCAGAGTTTGA